ATTTGGGCTCCGGAATCAGATCGGAAAGGATCTACAGTGATCTTCAGCTCGGGATTTTCTTGACATAAGGGAACCCACTATCGCATGCTTTTTTAAATGTTCAAGATGCACGTGAAATGCGAGTAAGTTCCAAGTTTGACTTGGAACCGAACTTTAATAAAGGCTTGACTTTTGGAGTCGAGTCGGACCGGACTGGACTTTTAACATCCCTAGATATTTTTGCATAAATGAAAGTTCACATGATCATATAATGTCGGATACCGTAAATCCTCGAAATAACGCTATTTCGAAAAGTACCTTAATTGCTGTTTTTATATAATCTTCTATTAAAGTCCGTGCTGGCAGAATTTGGCCCTTCAGCCAAGTTTGGCTACCGGCCGATAGTAAATAGCCAAGTTTTCTAATAACATAATTCACTTCAGCCAATTAATTTTAATTTTGGCCATTTGCTGCAACCATTGGCCGGCGCCGTTGTTGTAACTTCGGGAGAGACTCTTCCGCAGCGACGTCAATTTAGTTCAGGGTTACAAGCATAAACCTGAGGATCGATGCGTAAAGGAAAGTATATTAGCAGGTAATTTCTTCTGCACGGCGTATGGTAATAAACTTTATATATAGGTTGTGCAAATAATGGTATATGTGCCGTAAGGTTTAAGGTTGTCGATCGGTATAGGATTTAGGCTATGGGGCAGATCTGGAATTGTTGAGGTCAAAATTCCAGGTGCAGAGTGGGACGTTACGGGTTAGTGGCACAGTATAACGGGTTTTAAGTTATTGTAGGGTTTTATTTTAGAACGATAATTATGTATGGGGTACGTCTTTACTTTATTCAGTGATTTAGTCGGAGTAAAAGTTATTTTTCTTTATTAGCATTTATACATTTTTGAATTATGACAGTCCGAAACTAAAATTCTGAGTCTTGAACCAATATCGGTGGCCTCATACCAGGATCTATGGTACCGAACCCTTGTTCAGGGCCCAGGACCGAGGTTTATGGTCCGAAACCACTACCCATCTCGATCAAAAAAAGGTCTGTCTAACAACTCGTCATTTACAGATATGCATTTCCTAGTTACGCAAGTGTAAAAAAGAAAATGATGTGCAACAGTATCACAGGATTTAAACCTTTGTCTCTTTTTTAAAATTATTCGCACTATGATGTATATTTTCATAAGCTATAAATTTAAATCATGATTACTGAAAGTGATTTAAAAGACTTAGGTTTAGATTACTATGATTTCAGTCAATTTAAAGATGTTAAGAGAATCGGCAGTGGAGCGTTTGCAGATGTGTACCAAGCAGGATTAATGAACTCGAATTTAGAGCATGTTGTATTGAAAATATTTAGGACAGTTGAATCATCCGAAATTTCACGAAAAGCCTCTCGAAAGGCTATATTAAAAGAGGTAAAAGTGAACGTATTTACGTATATTATGTTATCAACCTAGACACGTACCAGTATTATTTTAAGATATAATCTAACATCTACACAGATTACATCGCATAAAAAAGTGGGTATATATGATAGTATTATACAAATTTACGGATTCACTAAAACGAAAGGTTATTACCGCTACTTTAATTGATTTCTGGATTAAGTATTCACTTAATTCCTAGCACTAATCTGATATTTTAACTATATATAAATAATCAATCAACTAGTTAATGTGCTTGATTCAGAATTGAGCTACGCGTTAGTATTAGAATTTGCAGATGGTGGTACACTAAGGAATTATATAAGGGAAAGTCCGGATCTTAGTTGGTCCGATAAGTTCCGCCTCGCTCTGCAGCTTGCTGAAGCTATTATGCATATGCACTCAAAAGACATTGTCCACAGAGATCTTGTAATTAAAAATTTATAATAAGCTTGTTATTTAATATAGTTAAATACTTGTACTATTATATCTAATGTTTATAATTGTTATACATACAGCACTCAAATAATATACTAGTTCACAAAAATAATATTAAGATTGCTGACTTTGGGCTGTCTAGATGTTTATCTGATGCATCAAAGACCAGCACATGGCTTGCTGGCTATCTAGCATATATTGATCCTCATCTCCTTATGACTTCTGAGAATAAATTACAGGAAATAAATAAGGAGTCTGATATATACAGCTTAGGTATGCTTTTATGGGAAGTATCCAGTTTACGTCCCCCATTTGAGGAAGAAGATAAGAACGCTCTGTATTTTAAGATATTAAATGGTTACAAGGAAGCTCCTATTATAGGAACTCCACAACAATATTCTGATTTATACACTGGTTAGTTACATACTTGTGCAGTTCCAATTAGCACTCGACAAAATCAAACAAAAGCTTCAAGTTTTTGAATACATTTACAATATTGTGCATTAAATTGCAAGATCTATTTTTACTCTAATCTGACTTTAAACTTCATGATAAGTTACCACGAACTCCAAAGTAAGATCGGATGCCTGTTAGATTTATATATTTACTAAAATAAAATTTGTATTTAATGTAAATTGATAGATTTAAACTTGAAAATCAAGTTTTTGTTTGATTTTGCCGTGCGCTAGTTCCAATCGTTATTACCATTTAACTATTGAATAATTTATAATTATCCACTAAGAATGCTGGCAAGATGATCCGAAAAAACGTCCTACTATTGATAAAGTCGTAGATGAACTTAGTAGGTGAATAGTCTTAGAAATTAAAATGCATGAAAAAAATTTTATCTGATCAAGCGACATTTCTAAACATACATATCAAATTAATAGAATGCAGATAACAAGGTATTTGAAATTAGAATTTTTAATGCTCATTTTTTACTAATATCATTTCTTTAACCAATTTTATAGTCAGTAAGTATTATATTTCATTCAAATTAAGAGTGTGTAAGTAAAATGTTTAACAAATCATCGTTTCATTGTAATTCATAAATACGCAGGCAGTGTGTAATTTTGCGATTTATATAACAAACATTCTTTAAGTTGACAATGATTCAAATAATGTTTACTAATCATTTTATATGTCATACTTGTCAGCATTAGCAGAAATGAACCTCAACGTTTTACCGGCGACGATAAAGATTATGTCGTTAACAAAACAATTAATTCATTGAATGAGGAAGCATTATCTTTCGAGTCAATGAAATGTGAGGAGTCAATGGAAGCTGTTGATAATATGGAAGCTGTTAATAAATATGAAATATCGTATTTGTTGAATGAAATAGAAGCAGGGGCGCTCACTGAGCCAATGGAATACGAGGTTACGAAGTGCGAAGGAAATCAATTCAATGTTAACTCAGTAAAAGTAGCTGTCAGAAATCTGTATACTGTTGCAGAAGTATCAGCAAATTATGCACATTTCGCACCATTAATAGAAATAATTTCAAAATTAGGGGAAGATATTGTAACTTTATATCAAAAAGCTGAACATAATAAACATTTTAGCTATTTAACTCAGCGAGTAAATTTTGCTGTGGCAGTTATAAGAAATTTAGAAATTCGAAAACAAGATAATGTAGAATTTTTTAGGGAGGCATCTAATCTTCAACTTGTAAAAGATTTTGTAAAATGTATGCTTGATATTAGAAAATTTGTTGCTGATATTTCTCAACTTAGTACCTCCTTTAATTCCACTAATGTTGTACAAAAGTATAAGGATTTGTCGAGTAGATTTGGTGGGTACATGTCTTCTTTAAAAGTCGCGTTAACGATTCAGTGTCTTCAGGGCATAAATAATAATGCGGAAAAATTAAAGGAGCATGGTTTGGATTCTAAAAATGATTTGGAGCTACAGTATCAAATCAAAGTTAATTTAGCAGAAATAAAAAAGGTTGCTATATATAATCTTGGTGATGAAATTATATTCACATTAATACATGATGGTTACTAATCATAGAATCTATCATAGTTCATGCATGACATTTCTGGCACTGAAATCTCAATTGATCCTCAATCCTTTCTAAATCTAGACGATTACGAACTTAAATTAAATTGCTCACCGCGTGGTAAAACCATACATTGTAGATGGAACCGTGGGACCCTTTTAGAATATGCATTTAAAGAAATTCCTCATATCACTGATGATCAAAAAGAAGACCTTAGTCAACAAGTTGCTATTCTGAAAGAATTAAAAGAATCAGAACACATTGTAAGGTTTTATGGAATAGCTGTATATTCTTATGAATTAAAATATTATCTGGTGACAGAGTGGATGGAAAATGGTAATTTGCGAGAATATTACAAAAATCATAAACTGGATTGGAATAAGAAGTCTGAATTTGCAATTGATATTTGTAAAGGAATTGCTTTCTTGAATTCTCAAGAGGTATGTCGAATAACTTCAATATTAACGAACAATGCTATTAAACAGTAAACTTACTTTTAATTTATATATTATATTATTTATGCTAACAGATTCTGCACCATGATATCAGAGGTGCAAACATATTAATTAACCGTAATAATAAGGCTAAAATTGCCAACTTTGGTCTAAGTCGTAAGTTTGGAGATATTACCAGGAATATATAAGTTAGTCTTGAGAACGTGAGGTATATGGCTCCTGAAAAATTAGAGCATGGCAAACGACGTTATAATGTTAAATGTGAAATTTATAGGTACATATCAAAGAATCAAATTTGTTCAATTTTATTTATTTACACTACATAATTGGTTAAACACCATTTAAATTAATATTTAGTTTAGGAGCTCTTTTATGGGAAATTGCTGAAGAAGAGATACCTTATACCAGACTAGGAATAGATTTACAGACTATTTATTACCGTGTTGTTAAAGAGAAATATCGTGAACCATTTTCTTCAAACGTACCCAGATTTTGGCAGGACATTACATATGCTGATATTATTGTATTTTCCTAACATTAATTTTTTAAATCATTATCATTTATTATACTAATTTTCTATATATATTTAAAGCTTTAAATCATGATCCAGATTTTCGTCCAACAATTGCTAAAATACACACAGTCCTCTATTATTATCATCATAAAGGGATGAGTGTAGATCAAGCAATTGAAGAACATTGAAAGTCCGACGGAAATAAACAAAAAGCATGGGAGAGCTTTAAACACCACGCTGAACAGGGTGACATAATTGCGAAATACTGGGTTGGTTACTATCTATATCATTCCATCCTTCCTGAACATAAAGAAAATCGTCAAGAAAATCTTCAATATGCGGCAATATTGTTTAAAGAAGCTGCAGATCATGGTAAAGTTGAAGCTCAACTCCGATACGGATTCTGTTTGTGGCAAGGTGACGGTGTTCAGGTCAATTGGGACGAAGCTATGAGATACTTAAAGTTAGCAGCTGACAATGGAAATTCTACAGCTATGTATAATGTCGGAAGTGCTTATTGGATTGGAAAAGGAGTAACAAAAAATCAAGAAATTGGAGCCGAGTATTTGAGAATGGCTGCTAAGAAGGATCAACATAATGCCATTGCTATGTGCAAAAAACTCGGGATTAGTTTTTGAAATTGTCAAGAGGATGAGTCGATAATATAAAAATTTGTGAACTCTTATGCTAAAACTATCATATATACGGTTAGAACAATAATAACGATGTTAAAGCATAAAAACAATAACTATTTTAGTCATAAAAAAGTTGTCAGCCTATATATTTAAGTATGCTTAAATTTTTAATTTTATGTTTCAGAATTAGAGCAACGATATTTATTAGTCTTGATAACGAAAAGATATACTTGAGTATCCCAATTTTAACTAAAAATTATTATACAATAAATCAAAAATGAAAACGAAAAATAACGAGTTTTATTAATCTGGACATAAATATTCTGACATGTAAATAAAACCAAGTAAACATATAAAAGTGGGTTACCGTATTTGCGCGTTATTTTGGACCCCTGCGCGTTATTTTGAAACGTGCATGCTCCTTATTTTGAGTCAAAATGTCATTTTTTTGAAATCCTGTACCAGTATTTGTAATTGGTTCCCGATCAGCGGCAAACATTTCAAAGACACCGAACTTACTTCAACGACAAGCTTATTTTACAGACGATTAATTTACGGATAAGGCCGTTTGAAATCATAATTTCGTTCAACGTTCCCTTATGAAGCTTAAGTGTGGTGGGGATTGGCCTGTTTAATTTTAGGGGGAGCTCTTGGAGGCGGAGGGGAGAGAACGTTAAACGAAATTATAATTTCAAACAGCCTAAGTTCATTTCGTAGACAATATATTTCCCGACAGCCCATTTCACCGACAAGTAATTCTAATTAATGTCACTAGGGTTAGGTTTAAAATTAGGTTAAGGTTAAAGCAATTATAAAAAAAAAAAACTTGCGAAATGGGCTATTGATGAAATATACTGTCTACGAAGTGAATTTGTCTGTAAATTAATCGTTTGCAATAAGCTTGTCGGTGACGTTAGTTCGGTAAATGTAGTATTTGAAGTGATTGTGGTGAAATGATTTGAGCACTATGCTATACAAGGTGGGTGCGCGTTATTTCGGGACGCGCATGGGCGCTATTTTGAGCAAAAAAGCTCCGAATTAACGCCCCCAACCCGCTATTACGCGCAAATTGCAGCATAATTCATACGCTAATAAAGATGTAATATTACGCGTAAAATTCTATCCGAATTAATTGATAATTGCTAATTTAATGATTCTACGAAACTTTGCGCCATTTCTTTGACATGATTTTTTATATGTTCTTCATTACCATGTTCCTTTTCAAACGCTACCCATTTTTTAAAGAAAAATTTCATATTTTTTGATGAAAACTTCATTTCAATAATTCTTTTGAAAAGACGCCTATAATTTATTATAGAATGAAATGAATAAACT